CCATAATAGCAAGGGAAAGTCAATTTAGTTTTTATTTAATGTCAATTTATAACAATGTATTCCGCAAATATTGAATTTGTCTGTGTGTTTAAAATTTCAAAAAGTTCATAAAAATAAATAAACTCCAATTATTTGCTAAACTAAGACTCCATCTGATAAGTGGAATCATTAAAAATACTTTTTTCCGCTTTGAAAAAAAATTAGAATCGGTAAATTTTTTAAACTTATCGATTAGCTTTGACTGAGGTTATGGCTAGAACAAAAGGTTGTTAACTGGAGCTGCATGATAGCTCTGTTAGAAAGAAATCTCACTTATTCAAAGGTACGGATAATTGATCCGAAATTTATAATTGATATCAGATTAGTTATGATTCACGGGGGATTCATTTAGATACACATAATCGTGTCTCACTAGTATACTCTGAGGGACACGAAAACTTGTTACATTTTATTGAAAATAACAATATATCACCACCAAATGGGGTGTTGATGCTGGAATCTTAAAAGTAAATAAAGTTTCAACATCAAATTCTTAAATAGAGTAACGTTATCTCTATATTCGAACAAAATATTCAGTTTCTGAGAAAAAATGGATTGAAGAATCAATTAAGAGGAAAATCGAATCAAACAGTAGATTAAAATCATAATCAGCTAAAAATTCCACAATTTAAAAGGATAAACTAATGATTGTAAAAAAATAGTTACAAAAGTGTTATCAAATGCTCATTCACGGTAAAGTGGTACAATGGAGTCAAACTTGTAATGGGAATCTAACTTAATATAAACTGAAATGAAATGTGCTTCGCAACTATTACATTCATTAACAACAAATAAATTATAATCAAGTTTCGTTTAACGTTTATTTATTTATTTTCAAATGGCAGGTGTTTTGGTAGTCATTATTAGACCTTTAGTTGAATTCGGACTCCACAGAGAGGAAGAACAGGCAAAGTCACAAAATGTCGAGAGGGGGAGCACAAGAGTGATTTACAGATGTAAGAGACCGACGGACACAATGGCGGAGAAAAAGCATTGTGAGTACTGTGGAAGTGGTGGAATTTGACAAACAGTAGGGTCATGGTAGTTTGAAGTGAGAAGTCAACTGCCAGTCAATAGACTTTTTTGCCGTATGAATATACGTTGCCCAGGGTGCACCACATTTTGCCGTATGAGTATGCGTTGCCCAGGGTGCACCACGTTTTTGCCGTATGAATATACGTTGCCCAGGGTGCACCACGTGGGCAGTTTGAAGTACCAGTCAATAGACTTTTTTCCGCATAAGTATACGTTGCCCAGGGTGCACCACATGGAGGTTGTAAGTACACGTTGCCCAGGGTGCACCACGTGGAGGTATGCCGTTTGAGTATACGTTGCCCATTGGTTTATAGACTTGTTTGCCGTATGAGTATACGTTGCCCGTCAATGGGGTGATGGTAGTTTGAAGTGAGAAGTCAACTGCCACAATGGGGTCATGGTAGTTTGAAGTTAGAAGTCAACTGCCTTTAATAGACTTTTTTGCCGTATGAGTATACGTTGCCCAGCGGTTTATAGACTTTTTGCCGTATGAGGTCTGTTGCCCAAATATGACATACAGTGGGGTCATGGTAGTTTGAAGTCAGAGGTCAACTGCCGGTTTATAGACTTTTTGCCGTGTTAGGGTTAGATCAACTGCCGGTTTATAGACTTTTTTGCCGTATGCGCATACACAATGACATACAGTGGGGTGATGGTAGTTTGAAGTGAGAAGTTGTGACATATAGTGGGGTGAGGGTAGTTTGAAGTCAGAAGTCCACTGCCGGTTTATAGACTTTTTGCCGTATGAGTATACTTTGTAACATACAGTGGGGTCATGGTAGTTTGAAGTCAGAAGTCAAGGCATACAGTGGGGTCATGGTAGTTTGAAGTCAGTGGTCAACTATACAGTGGGGTGATGGTAGTTTGAAGTGAGAAGTCAACTACCAGTCAATAGACTTTTTTCCGCATAAGTATACGTTGCCCAGGGTGCACCACATGGAGGTTGTAAGTACACGTTGCCCAGGGTGCACCACGTGGAGGTAGCCGTATGGAAGTGATAAGTCAACTGCCGGTTAATAGACTTTTTTGCCGTATGAGTGGGTTGCCCAGGGTGCACCGCGTGGAGGTAAGTCTATCGCAACAACTGCCGGTTAATAGACTTTTTTGCCGTATGAGTATACGGTGCCCAGGGTGCACCACGTGGAGGTAAGTCTAAATATACATTGCCCAGGGTGCACCACGGAGGTAAGCCGAATGAGAATACGTTGCCCAGGGTGCACCACGTGGAGGTAAGGTGTAGTATACATTGCCCAGGGTGCGCCACGTGGAGGTAAGACCGTATGATTATACGTTGGCCAGGGTGCACCACGTGGAGGGGTATACGTTGCCCAGGCTGCACCACGTGGAGGTAAGTTTATAAGTCTATTGCACACCCCATGATACCTATCATAACGCCTGCCATTTGAAAGTACGTTGTCCAGGGTGCACCACGTGGAGGTAAGTCTATCGTATTCTTAAGAATAATTGTTTAGAAAACCAGCAAGGGTTGAAAGTTGCCCAGGGTGCACCACGTGGAGGTAAGTCTATCGCACGCTGTCCAGGGTGCACCACGTGGAGGTAAGTCTATCGCACACACCCCTCCGCTTCCAAATAAGATGTTGATAGTGAAGGCATATTTCCAGGGTGCACCACGTGGAGGTAAGTCTATCGCACACCCACTTGGCTCTCCCCTCAAATTTCAACCCTACACGGATGGGCTTGTTTTTTTTTATTTTTACTATTACCATTACAATTATAATTATGAATGCGAAATAAAGACCTTTAAGGTAGCATTAGGCCAACTCCGCTGCCTGGATGCTACATCCACCAAAGCAGTAATTATTTCCTCACTCTAAGCAAGGATATTTAACTACGAATAATCCTCACTCTGACATGACTTGGGTTCTACTATTTTGCATTTGCATGAAAGTTCCAACGACTGCTGAGTTTGCTGTATTGGGAAATGTTTACAATCCAAGATGATTTGGAAGCAATAATGAAAAGGTGGCCCAAAAAGAATTTAGTTGAAGTTAACAATTCTATCTGAGGTATATGTCTGTACCAAGTTCTGTGATTGTTTTTGAAGCTCGACTTATGGCTTATTTTGTTAATATGTAACTTGTGCCGAGTGAATGTAATATATTGACAATGCGGGGGGCAAGTTGAAAGCCTTTTCAAACTCAAGGGGATTCAGTTAGTGAGGATACTAGGAGATGAGGCAGGACTATTACTGTGGAGTAGAATCCTGCAAACACACTTTATTTTACTTATCTCCTCCTCTCCAACCCCCCTTGAATGCCTAGGTTGGTTCTTGATTAACTGCCAGTATACTTACGTATTCACTTATTGGCAATATTGAATTTGGTGAGAATTTGATTGATAGGAGAATGGATGCTAAACACTGGAGAAAGCGAAGAGTTGAACTCGTATTCTCATCCTTCAAAAAACCAATCAGGGTGCACATGAAAGGTTGCTATGAATAGCCAATGTCGCATTATCCTACTGCAGTGGGCATGCAATTGATGGTAGATGGTAGTTATGAAAGTCGGTTGCAATGTTGCATGTGAGCGATGTTGGGTGCGTAAATTAGAACGCACAGAGGGTGGTTGGGGGATAGAACTAGTAATAGAAAGCATTTATTAAATCCTTAGGCACTTGGTTTATAAATTTCAACACTGTGAACTATCATTATCGATGTTGTCACTATTCCATTGTAATATTGCATTCATGTAATAGAATTGAGGAAGTATAGCTGGTCGGTTGGATGGATGGTGGGTTGGTTGGCTGGCCAAATCTGCCCAGAGCCCTCGTTCGCCGCCAGCCTCCTGCTCACCAGTTCGGGTCTCTTCCCTCCTCCTATTTGTAAGAGTGAATTGAGAAGGCAACGTGAATGCAGGAGGCTGACGTTACCACCCAGGACCACGTGGAGGTGAGGGTTGGAGTTTCCTGGGTAGGGAGGCGCAGGCACTGCCCAGGTGAAGAAGTTTGGCACGCGCTTGAAGCACGCTTGTGCCTACTCGTACCTCCACCCCCCACGCACAGCAAGCGCCCTTTTGTTGCTGTGGTCTTATAGCCTCTACACTCCTATGACCATCATCCCCCACCCATGACACCCAACCCAAGCGTGTGACCTAGCTTAGCCTAGAAGAGGGCGCTTAGTAGCCTCTATTCTCTTCTCCTTTAAGTCCATCCTAGTCGGTGTCCTTCGTACTACCACAGCATAAGCTACAAAAGGGTTACCTACGAGTGGAAGATTCGTGGTGGAGTGAGGATAATTGTGCCAGCAGGAGAAATGTATGGTATTTGAGGGGAAAGTTTCTTAGGAAGGGGCTTTAGGAGCGCAAGCATAGAGCATAATGAATAGAAGAAGTCAAATGGAGATGAGGCAAACGTAGTGGCACTATTTAATCGCACAATCCTAATGCGTAAGCTATGGGGAAGATATACGTGTGAATAAAATAAATTACTAGAAGAGTAAGACCTATGAAACTGTATGAGATACCTGAGTAGGGAATATGCCAGAGCATGAATGGCTATTGGTGGGATGCCATTGATGAAAGTTGCTCTCAACTTTGAGGATTTGAAATCTGATTCTCTAGTGCTCACAATTACATGTTAGTGAATTGGAAAGAAAAGTTAGAGCTAGCATTAAAAGACTAAAAATGGATAAGGAATAAAAATGAAACAGAGGAGTTTTGTCTTTTATTTTTTATATTTTACTGCCTTTTCGGAAGTTTTATAATTTTTTGTTTTTTTCATATTTTGTCGCTTTTTATAATCATTTTCTGGAATGAAGGGAAAGAGGAGACTGAGAGGAAGGCCGCCGAGAAGAGACCGAGAGATGAGATGAGTTGTTGAAGGCCACTTGGCTTTGCATGGACCTTTTCGTCGCAGACTTTTCTGCTTGGGAAGTGTACCCCTCTCCTTATTTCCTTTCCAATCTTTCTCTAACTTGCCTGCCATCTCATAATATCGAGGAAAAAGTTTAGGGACTTTCCAAATTCCTCGTGTGCTTGTTCAAGCCTCCTCTGGGAGATTCTGCTCTCCTCCATCATGTCCTCGACAAACGTTGGAGAGACTGCAAAATTCTCCCCACAGAACTCTTCAAAAGACATCAGTTTCTCCCCATGTATGTGATCACCCTCTCCGGAAGCCGTACCTTTACCTTCTTCTTTTCGAAAGTGTTCTGAGTGTTCGTATTTCTCTCCTATTTCTCTCATCCAACTGTCCTCCTCCTCCTCTTCATCTTCTTCTTCGATTGTACTCAACTGTCCACCTCGAAACTTAAATCCAATTTCCAACTTCTCTTGCTCTCTCCTCTTCCTCATCCTCTCCTCCGCCTCTTCAAACTCCTCACAGAGCCTTTCAAGCATTAAAAATTCTCTCAAGCTAGAGGAGCATTCGCTATCCTCATCTTCATCTCCTCTACTCTCAATCTCAGTCTCTTCTACTGTCTTCTCTATTGCTTTCTCACTTACATTCTCCTCTTCTATTCTATTCTTGATCTGTTCCAAGTCTTCATACTCCTCACAGAGCTTTTCCAGCATTAGAAATTCCCTCAAGCTAGAGGAGCATTCGCTGTCGGTGTCTTCTCTACACTCGATCTCGGCTTCTACCTCCTTCTCCTCCACTGGATTCTCATTCGTAGTCTTTTGTTGCATCCTATTCGTCACTTCCCCTATCTCATCATTGCTTGTGCTATGTTTAGTCTCTTCTCCCACTTTCACAGGTTCTTCTACCCCTACAGGCGAATCATTTCTGACTCCCCTATGTCGAGTAAAACGGAGGAAACGGTGTGTGGTTGATACACGGTTGCCCATTGCAAAAAGTTAGCGAGAGCAAAAATTGTCAGTAGATTTTGTGTTTGAAGCGAAGAAATCCATGACAATATCGATCATCAATTAGGACAATTTAGTCGAGCGCGTGCGTACGCACATGCGCGCGTAAATTAATCTGTACTAATAGAATATCACTGTCAATTATTGAAATAGCCAAAAAGTAGACCCTTTTCAGAAGGAAATGGATTAGACCCACCTGATAACGGTGTTCAGCACTACAAACAGCAACAGAAACCCAGAGATATTGGGAGGCCAGAAGTCAACTAATGAGCTACTATTAACTATCCTAAAGCCCATATATATGTTATACCCCTCTGTGAAGGCCTAGGCCAACTAAGGGGCTAATGATAAATATCATATAACCTGCCATTAGTAATAATAATAATGAGGCATCAAATAAAGAAGTAATAGATTTAAAACGTTTAATGATCTACAATAGTACGTAGGATAGCCCAGGGAGCATTAGATAGGATTGGTTCAAGTAAGCGACCGTCTCGCCACGGTGACACCCGAGGCAACACATGATTCGGCTGAAAATGCAAACTGTTCAACAAATAAGGCTGGCCATTGTAGCACTATATTCTACATGCCTGATAGTAAGGCTACTTGGAGCTCAATCGATCAACCTTCTATTAGACGAACTCATTCAGGGGGTAGATGAGAATTTTTACCAACGAGAACATGCCAAGGTTCCACACTGCAGAAAATTGACACGATAAAAGAGCAAAACACGTACGCAAACAGTAGACCTCAGAGAAGACAAATTTGAAAAAAAATAATAAAAATAGTAAAATCAATTGGAGCCCAATGAGGATTTACTGGATAAAATCTCTGACCACTTAATGTTCTACCAGCTGTAAGGTAGAAGAAAACTTAAAGCGACATAATTAGATAAATCCGAATAAAACAAACAGGTTACATTGAGAATCTGATAATATACAAATACAAAACTGTACAGATATGGTTCACTTCTTGCGCTTCTGTTTCTGAGCATTTCGTAGATTCTTTCGACGCTGATTAGATCCATAATGTGCAACTTTCTTGTTTATCCTTTTCTTCTTCCACTTGGCGACTTTTGGTTCCATTTTTAGTGCTTTCTTAAGTGGGACGGCATTACTAAATGAGAAGTTTTATGCATAGTAATATGGTTAGCTTACTTGATGACTGGTTTGGCAGAAGTTTCGGAAGTGTCATTCTATAAAGTTGAAATATTTATGTATTTGATCGTACCTTTGGACCCATAAAGTACTGTGACTGAGCAATATCAATTTCCTCAACACTGACAGTGTGATCACCGGTATCCGTTGTTGTACATTTGGATACAACGTTAAAATCATCAGCAAGAAAATTCGGTAATTTTACCTCGCTTAGTTTTTCCATGAATTTATCACGATACTAAAGAATTACAGTAAAAGACCTCACATACAGCCTGCTTAACGTTTCGAATTTCTTCCTTTAATTTTGATTCATTTTCCACGCGAGCCTTCTCCCGGCGCTCCTGTTTTCGTTTGCGGAAGCCTGTTAGATAATCTCTAAAAGGTATAGATTAAATTAATTGTAGAAATTTACTTCCGCTTTTCTTCATCGAAAGTAATGAGAAGTTTCTTCTTTTTGCCCATAATCACGTTAAAAATACTTCAAATCTACCGCGCCCTAGTAGAACTAGGGTAACATTTAATTTAGGTAAAATATTATATTTTATCCATTATAACTTATTTATAAATTTATAACGTGTATTTATTTATAATTATTTTGTTTATTTTTTGTAGTTATTTTCATTCATCATTCCCATATTAAAGTGATGATACTAATAACTTCACCTGAACTCCCATTGGTCAGCTTAACTCTTCGTTTCATGTCTCTGCTATGCAGGCTCTGAAGAAGGTGAGCTTCTTTGAGCAATGATATTTCAATTCTAGACGACTAACCTCACTGGATTGGCTGTCGCCAAGGCTCCTCATGAGGTAAGTATAATTTGCTGTTTACTTCTTATGTGCTCAGTCTCTTAAAGCAGTTTATAGCCGAATTTTGACTGTTCTTAAAATGATGCCTGAAACAGCTGCATACCGAATTCATACAGAGAAACTCGTTACCGATCGACTTACTTTAGTTGAAAAGGTATGTCGTAGGGAATATCTAGTGTATTGGTCTTTTAGACACCTGTTGTTGCGGAGCTGGAAAAGAAAATTGACTGTGGCCAAATTGAAGAAGTTATCGTTCAAGTATTTTTCCATCTGTGTTAATTTATTGACACTTTGTAGGCTAACAGAGAATATGAGCTTGCCAAAAATATGCTGAAGTGGAAACCCTGGGAACCCCTTCTACAAGAAGCTCCACCAAATCAGTGGAAATGGCCTTTGTAAACGATTGCCGATCTATATATCTAGTGTAGCTAATAAATTTTCAGTGTTTCTGTCAAATCTAATGTTTATCAATCACGATATTTTCCGTTACTACATTCAGTTTCCTGTCCTCTTATGACCCCCTATCTTATCCAATTGTTGATTGCATTTATATTCACGTTAATCGGTATGTGACCAGTGAAACATTAGTCAGCTTTGTTTCTATCTTTGTAATCAGTATAACCACTAGATTTTTCCATTCTACTCTCCGTCTGATTTGCGATAATATCTGTTTGCTGGCTAAACCTTACATGTGCATGTTGTCTAGACTGGTCCTAGCTTCATTCAGTCAAGTGAATTGCCGTTTATGTGTTCATAGTATGCCGAATTTATCTCATTCATCTTTTTTCTTGCTGACAGTCCTTCTTTTTTTATGGAGACACTTCATTTCGTACTAATTTCACAGTCATTCATGCTCGATTATCTTAATCTATCTCATCTTACTTGAATCTCCATTCTCATATTTGATCCAACAGCTTGTATTCGATAAATGATATTTAATTATTTCTAGTTCAGCTCATATGGACAACTTACTTATTGCATTTTCAGTAGGCAGTTAATTTTCACTTGTATGGTCTAAATACTATGGCATGCCAATGATAAGTATGGTAGCAAATTTTCTATGGATGATAGAAATCTATGATTTTAAAATATCCAGTTTAAAATTTGTCATCACTGCATATACAAAAAACTCCTTTGAAATTGAAAATCCCATTTTAATTGCTAAGTGTACGAACTTAATTTATTAGCAATATTTTAACCAACGCCAAAGTCCAGGCTTTATGGGATTTAATTTTGTTCAAGGAATGACACCACTGTTTAGAATCCAATCTCAGAGTTTACTGCTCAATCGATTAGGTTGAGTCGGAGGTCATATCGTCTATTTAAATTATTTTCCCGCAGTTATGATCGAACAATTGAATCTGTTAGTGTTTACTACTCCATTTTGTCTTTATTCTCCACAGTCATACAACTATGGCTCTATTTCCCTAATTCACTGAAACCACTTATTTAGAACAGAAGGAACCAATCATCGTCTTGTTGAAGTTTTTAGTCGACAAACTGTTGGATCTAGTTTATAGCGAATGCACATTGTGGAACAGAGATGAATGAGAGGTCATGAGAGCTGTGTAAATAATGAAGTCATCGTGAGACAGAAATAGGGCTGCCCCTGGGCTTTGTGTTCGCTTTACGCAAGCATTTGAACGGTATAGTGATTTCGTTCAAGAACCGTTCTAGCGAACACGTTGTTAGTAGATACTTACGGCAAGTCTTTACATTCCGAAATTTATTCATTTTTTTCTCGTTCCTACATCCACGAAATCCTCGCTTTCCAATTCGCTTTGGTATTAGCTTTTCTTCTAACTTCCATTTGTCTCTGTGATCCATCTTGATAGGATCACTGAATGGTACCCTTTCACTCATGTCAATTGGCGCCCCTTTTCTGTTTGATATTTTCATTGATATATTCATTTTTCATTATTACCACATTGTAAATAGAGATTGATTAATTGAACTGACACAAATCTGGGACGGAGATGCAATACCGTTCGACTTCAAACTATCTGTGAGAATACTCTATAAGTAGAGTTTATGGGAATCAATAAAAATATCACCGTTCATTTATTGATGAATGCCTTAGTGTTATGTGGTCTGCTATATCGTTTCAATGCGATATCTCAATTGATTCGATTGATATAAGAGATTCATTGTCACTGGCATTTGCTTGATAATTTGGAAAGTTGTATTCAACTGACGGTATGTAGTGGGGCAAATATTGGCATCAGTAACTGCAAAGCTACAAAGGTTAAGAAACGACGAAAGTAATGTGGGACTCCTGAATGAGAGGAGTTGAAGAAATGCGAAAAGCGTTTTAATTGGGGAGTAGCCTGCAGAAAGATCGGACTAACGGAGTTAGTCGTCTGCTGAATTTAAAGGGAATAGAACCAGAAAGAAATATGGTAAAACTGGAATATCGAAGTCAAGTTTCGGAAAGGTTTCAATTATGTATGAATGGAGTAGGCGACGATAGTTGGACTAATTAAATGCATGATGGGAAGCATAAAAAGTACTTTTTTCTGAATTTCGTCTGAGCTTCCTTAGAAGTCAACGACAAGATCATGACAACTGATAGTCACCAGAAAAAAAAACAAGTGCACATCTCTAGGCTTTAAGTTCCCTTTTCTCACAGCACATTTCATTTTGCAATTTCTAGCTGCTCCATCGTTTAATTTTGCTGATTGGATCCCTAGATTTCTGGCTAAATTTAAGTCCTGGACATCCAGAACCTTTGGGCAAAATGACTTAAGGACATGAAATGTCTTTGTAGCGAGTAGTGTACTGCTTACTAAAACCCAGAATATCCAGATGCCACTCTCCCATAACTGGACCACATCTTTGTACACTCGATGGTAGTACGTCATTTGAGTAGAGATAGGTCCCAGAAGGAGTTCCTCTAAGACTTCATTCCCGTCCAATATTCGAGTATCTGAAAGTCATATGCTGTAATTTTTCATTATTATAAATAAATTGTGGCCTTGGAAAATACCTGCACGATTAGTAAAATAAAATTTAAAAAAATATCAAATACTTAGTGACTTTGGTTTTGGTCAGTCCTATCTTTATGCAATCTTGTTTGGCATGCCCAGGGTTTGTTTAAACAATTAATGACTAGTGTTAAACCTCATGGGAGATAGCATATCGTTAGTTCGCAAACTTCAGCAATGAAAATCGCTAGTAAACCCTTGTTTAAATGAAACTGAATAATTTAAAGTCGCAGGGTCGCTTTAACTTTGCCACTTTATCACAAGTGATAAAATTAACCAAGGGTAGTTTTCATTTTATTTAACACCACAGAGTAAAATAAATCAATTAATTTAACTAGGTCTAAAACATTAACTATCGATGATATCAACAAAGAAAAAAATACCGAGGGATAATTTCGTTTCCAAATTACATTCATTGTAAAGGTACACTAGGTTTTTCATTATTTGGTTAAAGGTTCAAAGAAAGCAGACATGTATAAAGCGATATTTTTTACTATTTATAGTCATAATTAAATCTTTTTCTGACAAAATGTTGATTGGAGTGAAAAATACAAATAATGTGCCCATATTCTGGTCCCCAGTGGCATATTACAAACACTAGTGTTACCGAGCTCCTTGATTGTCAACTAAAGTTCTATCAATGCATTTTCTCGTCAATTGAGCCTAAGTGTTACTCCACGTTACTTACACCGATTTCTTGATTTAATAAGCCCTTCCAAAGTTCACCTTGAATATTCCTCCTCGGTTAATAAATATGACCTTGATAAAGCTCGCAGTAGAGCCTCGAACTTGCGTTTGCCTAATGGGAAGATTCAGTCATTGATGACTTTGGAGTTAAAAGTTCTCTGAAATAGGTATCGTACTAAAGAAAAGAAATCAAGATTCGTGCTCCCAGGTAATGATGGTATTTTAAGAACAGAGGCAAAGTAAACAGAATATCTGCTGAATATATTTATTTGCATCAAATGGCAGGCGTTTTGATAGTTATCATTAGCGCTTTAGTTGACTTCAGGGCTCACAGAGGGGGAGGAACATCAAAGTGAAAAAAGTCGAGAGGGGGGGGGAAGAATAGAAGAGCGTTTCAAGGATATAAAAGATAGAAACACAAAGGTATAAAAACGGTGAGGTAAGTACTGTGGAAGTAATCGAATATGACATTTTTGAAGTATGAGTATACGTTGCCCAGGGTGCACCACGTGGAGGTAAGTCTATCGTTCACCCCCAACCACTAAATATGTTCCTAATGCTAAAATTTAACAACGAATCTTCCTGAGCGAGAGAAAATCAACATTGAACCCTTCAGATAACGAATTAATTTTTCGAAAAATGCTCCCAACCCCACTCAGGCGTATTTCACAGCAGACTGATGCCGCCGATTTGATGAGTTTTGGTGGGGCATCAGACGAAGGCTATGGACACTTATCGAACATGCTTCAAATGGCAATAGTGCCTTCTACTGCGAGTCTAGTACTAATGGAGCTTATTTTGAAAGAGGACTGCTAAATCAATTCAGCAGTAAAGGGATTGTAACTTGTTATAATAAAGGAAAATGTAATATTAGCTTTTCGGATTTAAATTATTCCTTCGTCTCCATAAAGTAAGCACAAATGAAAACGAGCTTTCGTCAACACCATCTCCTATGACCAACGCTTAACCACATTAATAAATAATAAAGCCTTGATTTTGATTGACAGAATAGAATAACTTAAATGCCAAAAACACTAAGTTAGCCCCTATTTTGAGGGAGAAAAATATACCAAGATATGACCAGTGTAGTCCTGTTTAAAAGAACCTCTTTGAGGCGTCGATCAACACACTAGTTTCAATTTTGGACTAAAGCTAAAACAGGTATTAGGAATTTGTTAAAATATTATGGTTAGTAATTTAATACTGTTTTAAGTAGCATTATATCCAGTAAGCAAAGTTGTTTTGTCTCAAAACAAATTGAATTGAGAGTTTCTTTTATCAAGAGTAATTATCCACCGAAACCTTAAACCAGAAGACGAATGATTGATTGGATAACAAGATATATATCAAATTACCTCGTAAGAATGTGATAGAAGTGAGTTAAAATTATATGACGTTACCACGGAATTGTGGTGAAGAGACTAAATTATTGGTGATCTGCATTGACATGATTGCTTTGTTACGTCTGTGTGTACAATGACTGACCTGTAAAATATCTATCAAGAAAAATGATCCATAGAAGTCTATTGTAACCATCATCTCATATTACCAGTGAGGATAAATGCATCCCTTTATTGCTAAACGAAGCAGAACCTGGGTAATTAGCGAACAGAAAATGAAGCAAAGAAAGTTCTTGAATGATGGCATAAACTCGAGCGGATTGGAGAGTGAGATTAGGGAAGAGTTGAGGAGAGGAGTAAAATTGGAAAAGTTGAAGAAAGAGCTTGA